TCTTCTATCCGCCTCCCACTCTCTCCCTATTTATTTCAGAACCCCCTTCCCCTCCCCCATTTCTGAAGAAGGGTCTAGGCCCGAAACATCAGCCTTCCTGCTCCTCTGATGTTGCTTGGCCTGCTGTGTTCATCCAGCTCTACACCTTGTTATCTCAGCATGTAATTGGCTTTGTTTTGTCTCACTGCTGTTGGATTCCAAGAGAATTAGTTCCTGTCGTGTTTCCTGAATTATTGTAACAGGTTTATTACCTGTACTGATTTTGGCATTTAAACACTACCCAATTCCAAACACCAAATGCAGAATCAACACCTCGCTTAGGGTAAATATATCTTTTGCTCCCCTGTTTGAAGAAAACCAGGTGGATTGCTCAGTAATTTCTCAACCTGAGACAGCTGGTATCCAGTGGCAAGCCAATTGATCAGGAGTCTCTCTCAATGTCTGCTATTGGAAAGAATTACATGTTGATCCAACCTATTTGTCTTTGTTATGAATGCCCCATCAATTGCCATCAAGCCCCAGACTGGGATTCAAATCCACAGCTTTGGGTGTAGGCTATTATCTTTTATTATCTGTAATTTAGTCAACAGAGCAGAGAAGGCAAGGATATAATAATAGAAAGATGCCAACAGTTTTTTTTTGTGAGTTTTAAGAGACCTGGTATAATGCCAATAAATAACTAATAATGAATTAGTATAAAGCAAAGGCTTGACAATGATTGGAGCACACCATGGTAACTGTGATCACTGCTGTGGGAACAGCATTAAAGGTTTGGAGCAAAACAAATTTAACTAAAAGTAGACAGTGATGAGTACAGACAGACAATTCCTAGAAAATTAATTATCCTGATTAGTGTCGGCTAGTCTGTATTTACTGCAAATTGAATTAGCAAAGTTGCCTTGGTCCCATTCTCTTATTAGAGAGAGAGACAGCTGCTGGTGAGTTTAATCTGAGGATCACCAAGCCCCAGGTGAGGGGTTAGGCTGAGAAGGCAGGATCTTTATGGTGACCTCAACTAGTACAGCAATTGAACCCATACTGTCAGCGTCACTCTACATTACAAACCAGCAGTCCAGCCAACTGAGCTAATCGATCCCCACAGCTAAGACTTGCACTTTTACACAATAATTTCTTGTGTTTTCAACTGAACCACAGCTCAACCTGAGCATTTTTATTCAATGCTGGTTCTAAAGTACTATAGTACCCTACTCTGATCTTTACTCATTTCTTCCTAATAAAACATTTGAATACTGAATTCTCATCAAGGTCTAAATAATAATTCCTTCTCTTCCTACGGCTCCAAGTAATTCCATAGAGTTTTGTTATATTCTTTTCCCTGAACTATATTATTCTCAGATAACATTCACACTTGTTATAAAATGAACAATGTCCCATAGATCTGGAATGAAAAGCTAGTCTAATGGTAACCAGTGTTGACTGTAAACCCATCTGGTTCAGTAATGCCTTGTAGAGTCAGAGATCCCTTTGTCTATCCCTATTCCTATATTATTTGGCCAAGATGTGACATCACAGTGAACCAGAGGCATTTGATGACTGAAATAACACCACAGAGGCTGGTATCCATCACCAAGTCACCCTTTATTTACACATGAATAGCCCTTGACTATAGTACTGCCTCATACAGAGTCAGGCACCAGTGTCAGAATCCCTGCCATTCAACCTTTTATGTCAGCCAGGGCTCCCTGATTGGACCAGATTAACAGCCCCAATCAGGGAGCCCATATTCTATGACATCAAGCTGGTTGATAATAGCTTCATTTTTCTGTGATCTGTATTGTGGATAGCCGCAAATATGAGGAGAGAATTTCCCTGCCACGCGTCTCTCAGAATTCTGTGTTATTTTACTGTTGTTGAAGGTGTTCAGCTCAGTAGAATAAAAAAGGAAAAAGGAAAGGCACAATGCTCTGTGAATGGTGAGAGGTTGGGAAGTGCTGTTGTCTCGGGAGTCATTAAAAACTAGCTTGCAGGTGCAGTGAGCAATGACCTTGATCACAGAGGGGGAGCACAAGATGTCTTATTGCAGCTAAACGGAGCATTGGTGAGACCTCACCTGGAGTACTGTGTAAAGCTTTAGTCTCCTTACCTAAGGAAGGATGTACTTGTCAGAGAGAAAGTGCAACAGGAGGTTCATCAAATTATTTCCTGGGATGGCTGGATTATCTTATGAAAAGAGATTGAAGAAATTGTGCCTGTATTCTCGAGAATTTCCAATGAAATCCCACTGAGACTTACAAAATCCTTAAAGGAAGTGAAAGGGGGCATATAGAAAGGATGGTGATTAAAGTCTAGGGACACATCTCAGGGCAAGGGGTCAGCCATTTAAGAATGAGATGAGGAGGAATTTCTTCATTCAGTGGGTGGTGAATCTTTGAAATTCTCTACCCTAGATGGCTGTAGAATCTCAGTCTTTGACTAGGTTCAAGACCACAAACCAATAGGATTCTGGAGACGAAAGACTTTAAGAGACATCGAAGTAACATGGAAAAGTAGTGTTGAATTGAAAGTTCCGCCATGCTCTAGGATAGCCATACAGGAGCGATGGGCTAAATGACCTGCTCCCATTCCTATGTTGTTGAAAAATGACCTACATGGACACTTAGAAACATAGAACATTTACGGCACAGAAAGAGGCCACGTAGTCACTGTGTCTGCACTTGCCAATTGACAAGCCATCAAGCCTTTTCCTGCGTTCCAGCATCAGGTAAAATTAGAAGAATGAGTGCAGCAGATACACCAGCACCTGCAAGTTCTCCTCCGAGCCACTCACCATCCTGACTTAGAAATATATCACTGTCCTTTCACTGTCATCAGGTCAAAACCCTGGAATTCCACCCCCCTCCCCCTCACTATGGGCAACAAAATGTTA